CATGGTGAGGTTTTCATAGTTTAATATTGCATGTCTCCATCAAAACGAAGCTTCACATAAACTGAACCCTAGCCATGGAGGTTCACGTTTTGGCCATGAAAAATCCCCAGCGATAGCCCAGACCTGCTCTAAACATCCACTGGAACTCAAAGGTATGGTTAGTAGGGATTAAATCAAGCCATAATCAGAAATACGATCCATGGAAATTCTGCAAAATGGATGTTCATATAGCTACAGTTTCAGTATGCATGGTTACATGAAAAGAATGTGTTTATACCTTATCTTGCCTGTAGATCACGATAGGATGGGTGAGAAGCCTTGTGGATGGCTGAGTTCTTGAATTCGATCTTGGTGCAATTCTTTGAAATTTTGAAAAGAAGTTTCTCTTGGCTGCCTCTCTCTCTCGTTTTTTCTTATGCCTTGTGATAGTTTTCTCTAGGTTATGTAGGTGATTCTGATCAGCATTAAGGCTCATCATACCATGCATTCAAGCTTGAGATTTTAACATAAACTCCCTTAACCAACTTTCCATTTTGAACCAATTTTTTTGAATTATTGCTCCATTTGGCCTTGAAACGAAATTGGTAGGTTGCATAATGATGAGTCAAAGTTAGTTAAGACCAAATATTCCTTTTAATTAAACTTTTTGATTTTTATTTGATTTTAAAGGATTTAAAATGAATTAAATCCAATAAAATCTAATAAAAATGAAAAAATTGATTTTAAATATTGAAATAAAAGGTGGGACACGTGGGAAGCATGGCCAAGTTAATTCAAGTGGAAAAAGTGGGCCCCTTTTGTCAAAAATGAAATTTCAAGGATAAATGATTTTGGCCATTTCACAAACATTTCCCAACTTCTCCAATGCATATCTTTCTCAATTTTTAAGCTTTGATCATGTTCTTTGACATTTTAGAAAGGTCTTGAAGTCCTATAACCAATGTCTTTGGTCCCATGTCATTTTGATTTACCAATCTCAAGTTATGGTCTTTGACTTAAAGTCCCTTTTTGTTGACTTTTGAAAATGACCTATAATGTTGGAATTGATAACTTTTTGTGAGAGCATTTCTTGGACTTGGAGTGTGAAGATGAGTTGTAGGAAATGTCTTCCCCTTCAAGATGAGCATTGGATGAGATTTTTCTGATGAACCATGAAAAAGTTATGCCTTAGTCAAGTTACAGTTGACTTTTCAACTGTCCAAAAATAGAAACTTTTGCATCTTGAGACTTTTTGAGCCATACTTTTGAGAATCATGATCAAGCATTGATCAAATGATGTTTGTGGCTTCAAAATAAGATGTTGACCAAATTTTTTGACTTTTGACTGCCAAATGACCATTTTGCCCCTACAGTTGATTGTTGAGCAATTAGGGTTTTTGACTGTGCAACTTGACCTTGTTAGCCTTGAAACTTGACATGTAGGTGCTTGACAATGTTTATAGGCGTAGGAGACTTGATTGAGCTCTTGAAAACTTCAACTTCCTTGCAAGAACCAAAACCCTAGTTTGACTGTCTTAGGAGGATGGTTGACTGTGTAGCCCTTGAGTAGACTTTGAACCATTTGCTTGTTATAACTTAGAAGATTATGGGAGGGAAAATTTTGGGGTACAACAGTTTAAAACCATTGATATTGACTCTTAGCATAGCCGTTTTACTCGGCGGAAAATATCGCGCTAGGAAAACTTTCTTCAATTCGTTCCATGTGGTAATAGAGTTGAATGGTAGAGAATGGAGTCGGGCTCTAGCTCTATATCACAATGAAAAAGGGAAAATATGAAGTCGTATAGCTTCGAGACTGACACCATTTGACTTCATTGTGTCTGCATACTGCACAAACACGGATAAATGTAAATTTGGATCGTCCGTAGGACATCCTGAAAATTGATTTTGTTAGACAGCTTGTAATAATGAAGGTTTCAACTTGAAATTATTCTGAGCGATAGCGGGAGCAGCAATGCTATTGTGAGGTTCCTCTTGCGATGGGGCAGTGTAATCCTTCAAAGGATGATTTTGGGGTCCTTCGGCCATTCTTGGTTCAGGAAGAGATAAATAGGGAAGATTGAATTCGAGAAGATAGTACTGAATTTGGTATTCTCTAATTCGGCGTCTTATACTAACAAAATGCTCGACTTCGTCGATTGGTTGCTCTAATCCTTTGCCTTTAGAGCGAGTGTTTGGCATACAATCAACGAATAAAAGAAAATAAAATTGTTGCCTTAGTTTATACTGCGAAACAAGGGATCACAATATCGACTAAATCAGATCTCCGACAACGGCGCCAAAAACTTGGTCACGTGACTCTAAGAGTCTATCAGGTGTATTAACTGCAAGCGCACAGTTTAATCACATAGTTTTAAAAGATATCGAACCCATAAGGACTGGTAATCGAAATACTGTTGTCTAAAGCTACTGTGTAAAGCTAAGGTTAATAAATATTAGTTTTTGGGGTAGATGAAAAATAATGTTAGACTTCATTGAAATATTTAATAATGGGACGCTGGTATGTAATACGTATGACTTCGGGAATTCAGTAAATCATTGGCATAGTTTTGAGTATTCAAAACACTGTTCAATAGAAACTATTAGTTTAAAAATCTTTATCTCACACTCTCGTTATTGTTGATTCGGACTATATTATTAAACTTAAATGACCACTCTCGTTGTTTCATTTAACATTTAAAAATACTTTTTGATAACAAATAGATTCTAATTAATCGTAAACCACTCTCGTTGTATTTAAAATCAATGTTTGATGACCATTATCCCGTTAAAAACTCACACTCTCGTGATTATTGATTTTAGCCTTTGTTTGTTCTTACTCTCGTAACAAAACAATTTTATATTAAAATTTGAAAATCAAAACAGAAAAGTATTTTTATAAAATGTTTATGCCAATTTATTACCGAACTCCTTTGATTTGTGATCTTACATACCGGTATTAGAGAAATTAGCCAGACATATTATCAGTTACGAACACAAAATAATAACAAACATATAATAATTCAGACATGAATGATAAATAAAGAACAATAGTTAAACTAAAAGAAACCTATAATTAAATAATGAGAACAAAATTATGTAATTCTTTAAATATTGGTAGCAATCCTCCACAATATTCCGGTAGGATTTGCTTGCGGAAAACTAACTTTAATGCGGAATAAAATATTAAACTAAAACAAAGTTCAGGAGACTAAGAAGAAAATATAATGTTGCAATGGTTTTTCGGTGTAGAAAACTATTGTTGTTTAGGTGAAGGTTTTATGTGCCTAAGTTCTAAACAAGGCTTTAAACTGTTAAACTGAATAATGGCGTGGAAGGAAAAACGAAAGTGCAAAATAATGTAAAAAAACTAAATAGCAGAGACGAGAGAGTTCAAAAAGTATCCGAGCGAGAGAGAAGAGAAATTTTGTATAACTGTTCTTCTTTTTTATATCTGCTCCGTAACAAAAATTGTTTTGAGAAAATATAGGGACGTGACTTTGTGCTTCCAAAAACTTCGCTTGTGGAGAAAGACCAGGAGAAAATCATTCGTTGGCGTGGAATATTGTGGAGAAATCTTCGCGCGTCAAGCAAAATAGAATACAAGTTGTGCCTGTGCCGAGTGGCATGCAATGTGTGCCGTGGGGCACACATATTTTTACTTTGTGCTGATCGGAATGGTTTGTGCCGAGGGGCACACAAATTGAACTTGTGTCGGGCGGAACAGAAGGTTTGTCGAGGGACACAACTTTCTGATATGAAATTTTCTGTTTGCTGTTTTTCTGATTTTGAGCTCGTTTCTTTTCCATTTCTTCTCCTCTTCTCATGTAGGCCTTGGATGGAATAATTACCTGAAACACACTTTAAAAGTCAACATAATACAACATAATTGAGATAAAATGGTAACTTCATTTATGCAAATCGGGTCGAATAAACTATGTATTTTCGCGTTATCAATCTTCAAGAGTTGTCATCAAAGTCTTGTTGTATCTTCATGAGTTGTCATCAAAATCTTATTGCATCTTCATGAATTGTCATCATCAAAACCATGACGTTGAAGGTCTAGGAATGTTTTGCTTAGCTTTGTTCATTTCCCGATTAAACCTGCAAGTATATAGTTTCACATACTAGTATTTGATGATAGTGTTAAGAAGATCATTAAAGATTGTTCCATATATCAACTTCAAGATTACAACACTGAGACGAAGCCATAACTGTGAATCAGTAGTTTTGAGAGAATAAGTTTTTATTGATTCAATAGAGGGAATGAAGCGATCAATCACTTGAAACACTTTTGCATAAATTTTGAAGAGTTCAGACCTTGTGTTATACGTGTTTTTTTTTCAATACTCAAAGTGATCTTAAAGAAATTTGTAATATTTGATAGTGAGAGCCGAGCAAGTTGGTGTAGGAAGGGGTGGCGGATAAAGAGGGATGGTATGACTAGTGGAGATTGAAGAAGAGTTGTTGTTGTAAGAATCAATAGTAGTCATGAAGAGATAAGGGTGGCGGTGAAAAGGCAGAGAAAGAGTAGAGAGGAGAAATAAAAAAGGTTGCAACTCTAAAATTTTTAGAGTTTGGATCAGACCAAATCTAGTTCTATATATGAAAAACTTAGGTCATGGGAATGATATGTTAATCATTTCCAACCAATATTAACATGTTAGTATGAGTGATTAAATATGTGGATAATCTTCATATTCATGATGTAGTATCTATTTGTATTGCATATACTATTTATAATGATATGAAAAATAAACTTGTTTTCCTAATAAAAAAAATAGGTCAAAGGCATGACAACAAAGAAGAATCAATCCTTATTTATATGTGTGAGTTAAGCTCGTAAATTAGTGACTAGTGCAGGAGATTCTTTCAGACACATACCAAATTATAATCTAATTCCATCTTCAATTTCTTATTCCCACAAACTTTTTCAATCAAGTAGGGTAAAATAATGCTTACAAACTAGATCATCCATAAAGAAAATGCTAGTATCTATTTCATCAACTTGAAAACTATACTCAAGAACTACCACCATGATCTCTTTCAACATGCTCCACAAGAGAATTCGGATCAAGAAAACCTTTACTACACTTCGGACATGCAGAAATCGACACCTTCTTCGCCCCATTTCGCTTGATACTACTTCCTTCATGAACTCTTTTTGCATGATCGACCAAACTAGTAACCGATGAAAACTTCGCATCACAAAGTGGACATTTCTCCTCTTGAGTTTTTCCACTCAATTTAGCAGCCAACTCAAGAAGGCTTGAAGCCCATTTAGACGAAGTCGATGATGACGAAGATGAATTTGTTTTTGATTCTTCTTTACTACTACTAGCACTACTCAAATTCAAAAGACTCATGAATGAAAAACTAGTTTCCAATTTTTCGGGTCCTGGACATTTATGATCCGGTCCAAACCTGTGTTTCAAACAATGTTCTATCCCGCAGTCTCTACACTTGATTGTGTTGGAGAAAACTAGTGTCTCTCTGCATCCTTGGGTAGGGCACTTTTTCTTTTTTGTGACTTTTTCGTAATTTGATGGATCACAATCTGTGTTGACATGATGTTCCCATAATATGTTTGGATCTTTGTCTGGAATTAATCGAACACTTTTTGCACAAAGTGGACATATAACAACCGTCACATCTTGTTTGTTGGGTTTTGTACAATGATGTTTTATATAACTTCTGTGCTCCAAACAATATATCTGCGAAAAATAAAACATGTGATATTATACGAAATAACATACAAACAGACAATAAACTGCGCTGCTATCTAGAAACAGAGGGGAGTGTGAAAAACCTGATTGCAGCGATCGCAAGTGAAGGGTAAGAAATCGTTGAGTCTGCAATCGGAAACTGTACAATGCTTGCCTAGATCTGGGAATTCAGGAGTCCCCATGATCCAAACAAAGCTGAAGCTGAAACCGAAATCAAGAAATGAAATCGTACCAGAAAAAAATACAGAGGAATTGAAATTGGGAAAAAAAAAATTGTGGAGAATTTGGAATTACGCGGATATAGGAAGAAAAGAGATGTGGTAACTAATCAGAAATCCAGGAATGGGAGAGAATCGTCTACTTCCTGATTTTACGCTATATTCTTAAAATTAGTCGTAATAATTTTAGTTAATTAAATAGAATTATGTAAATTATTTGTTATGGTTTGTCATATGAATTCAATAAACGAGGACACCTTCACATGAAAGCTTGACCTAGTAGTAGTAATTAATAAAAGATTAAATACGGAAATAAAAAAAAATCAATTAAACTAACCGTCTAAACTAAACCAAGCTGAAATATAATCGATTATTTTTGGTTCAATTATAAAAATTGATGTGGTTTGATTCAGTTCTCGATTTTATTTTTTAGGAACCGCCAAATTGATATATCGAATCAATGGAAATAAGTACGCTTTAAATCTTTTATTCCATCCATCATTAAGCTCAAATTTTGTATCGATCCAATCATTCTTCATCTTTGTTTACACTTCTTTTCTATCAACAAAACATGCATCTAGAACCAAACTCTAAAACTTAGAAAGTAGAAACCATAAGTCATAAAAATTTGCTTTTACTAAACCGCTGCTTTCGTTGCATTCCATAATTGTTGCTCTCTCTACTGTCATTATGGTCATCTTCTTCGTGTTCAAGTTTTCTTCGTTAATTTTCATTTTTTATTCCTTTTTTGTTTCTTCTTCTTTAATAAAATTTCTTCTAGTCTTGTTCAAATAATTTTGATGTGTGCTTGAAGATTAAAATATGTTAATTAATGTGTACTTTAATGTGTTCTATTTGTTAAGCTTTCAAATTGTTTTCCAACCTTTTAATGCCAAGTGTCAACTTTTATATTTGATCGTGAACTTATTTCATGATGTAATAAAAATTATGTCATTGTTTTGCATGGATTAAGAACAACTTATAATTTGTTTGAAAAAAATAGAGTATGAAATAAATTACATGAAATGTATTAGTTTAAAAATTAATAGCATAAAATACACCAAGAAGCAAGATAGTGGAGAATACACCGATGAATATAATGTTTGCAAAAAAATATTATAAATCGATCAACCGAACCAAACAAAATCGAATCAAACTGGTTAGTTTGGTTTGGTTCTATTTTTGAAATGTGTTTAAAACTAAAACAAACCAAACAGACGGAGATCTCACCAGTTCGGGCCTTTTTTTGACCAAAAACTGGTCCAAACTGATCTGATTACACCCCTACCTGCTATTTGTGTCCAACCTTTCCTCATGTTCTCATCTAATGGCTAAGAGTTCATCAAAAATCAAAAAACAAAAAATGCAGTTTTAAAAAGAGTGACAATTGTAGATGAAAGGTTGTGATGAGAGTAGGGGGGACAAAAGGAGAGAATTGATAGGAGATGATCCAAATCCATTAAATACCTATTTTGTTCTTCAACATAGTTCTAAATTTTTATCCAAGTAAATTGTTGGAATAATATAGCAAGTGTGAGTAAGTGAGGAAATAGTCTCACATTGGATAGGAATATGGAGACTTAAACATATATAAGTGGGAGAACCCACTCACCTATCACCTTAAGGTTTTAGGTGGAGAAGTGGTGTGTCTCTCACAAAGGTGCCTAGTCCTACACTATGTATCAATTCTCCTAGTAACTCCTCCCAACATGGTATCAAAGCCTTTGGTTCAAGAAAGGGACCGAAAGAGACTTGTATCAAAATGATGTCAATGGCGGTACAAGTGGGGGAGCATTGTAGACTCATACTTGAGGGGGAGTGTTGGAATAATATAGCAAGTGTGAGTAAGTGGGGAAATAGTCCCACATTGGATAGGAATATGGAGACTTAAGCATATATAAGTGAGAGAACTCACTCACCTATTACCTTAAGGTTTTAGGTGGATAAGTGGTGTGTCTCTCACAAAGGTGCTTATTCCTATACTATGTATCGATGCTCCTAGTATCTCCCCCCAACATAAACTAGTAAAATAAGTGATTATACATTTGTCATATAGTATTATTTTTTTCCTGTATTTGCGTTAATGACACACTAATTTTTAATTATTATTTAAATTTTATAACTTTCGTTGACACATAATTTTTTGGTTTTCATATCGATTATGTATTATATTTACATTATTGACACATTTTATTCAAGGTCTAATTTAATTGTATGAATTTTTTCTACGAGGGATCCATACTTGGTTTTGATTGATGATATTGAACTCTTGAGACAATGTGAATTTACGATACAACGACGTGTGATGGTCCTGCAAGGTTAAACTTTGATGTCAAAGTCAATTACAGAGTCCAAGATGAGTGAAATAAAAATGAATATAAAATATCGGACCTTGAATCACAACGGGACAATTTGATTGGGTTATGCATGGTTGTCCTGAACACTTATGCTTTACTTATATTGGGCCTTTTGCCGGAACAAAACCATTTCCCCCAAGTTTTTCCTGGTGTTCATCAACTAGAAAGTCTTTTGAAGTTGTAGCTGACACTTGGTTGTCACATCCGACCATAAGGGGAAGCAGGGATGCAATGGAGAAATTACAGAGGTAACAGGGGAACAAGCACATTAATTGTCTTTATCATCATTGAAATGTTTCACCGATATTTCAAGCGCATTGCTCTATGCTCGCAGATTAGTGCATTGATGTTTTCTCCTAGGGAATTTTAGTGCACTTGAGTTTACTTGTATTTTCCAGGCGGAATCTGGCCGTTGATTTATAACTTTTTTCCCTTTTTCTGGAATGTTCCATGATCTCTTATATATAAAGGTCTTTTGATTTTTTTGGATAAATTTTCTCCATTTCTAAGAGTCATATTCCCTTTGTGAGAGTGATTTCCTTCCTTCTCAGAATGAAGCTTTTCTATTCTACATTTAATTTCATCCTTCTTCACCAGATTTCATTCTCTCCAGGTACAATATTTACCCCGAGTTTATTCCTTTGCACCTCATATTTATTTTATCATGTCTCGTACAAAAGACCATACCATAAGTTTATTCAGTGATTATGCGAGTAGTGATTTTTTTCCCTTTAGTTAGAACAAAAACACCTTCTAGTTCAGATTTCCACCATTTAATCAACAATCATTATACTCTAGTGTTGTACCCCAAAATTTTCCCTCTCATGTTTTCCAAGGTCTTCCCCTACATGATTGGTCACAAACCTTTGCCTAAAGAAAAGGAAAATTTGTGAGTGATGTTTTTAAGTTTCTTTCGATTGGCATCTCCAAAATGCCTTTCGATTGGCATCTACGTAGCACCCTTCGATTGACATGGACAAAATTCCTTTGATTGGCCAGTTAACAAGGCCTTTTGATTGGCATTGTAACAGTGTCCTTTGATTGGCATTTTAACAAGTACCCTTCGATTGGTATTTGGACAAAGGTCCTTCGATTGGCATGGACACAAGGCCTTTCGATTGGCCTCATAACAAGCCTTTCAATTGGCATTATGTCAAGGCCTTCGATTGGCATTCTGAAAGACCCTTTCGTTTAGCACCTTGGGCCAAGCCTTTCAATTGGCATGGCAAGGGATCATTCTATTTGGCATTGTGTCAAGGCAGCTTCGACAAGCATGTTAACCGTGTCCTTCGATTGGCATGGACAAGATCTTTCGATTGGCGTAGCAAAGGACTCTTCGATTGACATTTCAATAAATACCCTTCGATTGGTATTTGGACAAGGGATATTTGAAGGAACTGAATCAGAACCATTCGAAGGAAATGAATCAGAGTCATTCGAAGGAGCTCCATTAGAGCCATTCGAAGGAGCTGAATCAAGGCCATTCGAAGGAGGCCATCAACCCATTAGAAAGAGAGCATTCAAAGGCCAGTATGTCCACATTTATGCCAAATTTAAAAATGGATAAGATCCCTTAAATTTAGCCAAGGTTACATATTGGTATTCATGGCATTCAAATGGTTGTTACAAATATTACTTCTCTTGTCCCCTCCCTCATACCCTATATAAGCAGCATGCTTGCAATCAAAAAGGATAGGACGAAAAAGATTAGAGAGATACGCTGCCCACAAACCCACCAAAGGTTGTCAAAATTTTCATAAGTAATCCAAGCGAAGGCAACCCTTCAAAAAAAGTATCCACGTCCAGAAGTCCCAGATCGAAGGTATCCACATCTAGATAGTGCTAAATCGAAGGTTCCAACTACTGGTAAGAGAGGTTAAATTGTCAAACTTTGTATTTGCACAACACATCCATATTTTTTTGTTTCATTTGATTTGTCATTCTAGACAGAATCAAAGGGCTTGGGTTTGGCACCCAGGTCATGTTTTTCGTTTGCTAACACTTACTGCAGATATAGCCTGAAAAGACCCAACGCGCGCAAGATCGGAGGACCTGGGTTTCGATATCCAGGTCCTGCGTTTTATTTCGCTAACATTATATTTGCAGATCCAGTACCCCAGATCGAAGAGCCACAGTCCTCCTGGATTGAAATCCATAGCCTTCCTGGATCGAAAGCCACAGCCTTCCTGGATCGAAGCTCCATGTTTCACTTCAATCGAAAGGCCCACTCCTCCCTGCAATCAAATGAGGCATTTTATGTTCCTTTTCTTTGTTCTTTTTTTATCATTTGAATCAATCTAAAAATCAAAAATCACAAAAAATAATAGGTTAGTGTTTTATTAATCAAATTAATTTATGAATAAATTAATTAATTATTTTAACATCTTTTACTTAAAATTAAAATTAAATAGACTTAGGCTTTATTTTCTTTTATACTAAAAATAACAAAAAGATTTTATTTTTTTACATTTTCAGACGTGTTTTCAACTTTGCGCATGTTTATTTAATTTCATATTTTTACTATTATTGTATCTGTTTACTGGGTGTAATAGATAAAAATTAGGACATTTACTGCATTATCCCTCTTATCCTTGTATAATGTAAAAC